GTAGCAGTAGTTTGTCGGGAACCCCTTTTTGGCGCTTTTACGGTAAGGGTCTTACGACTTGGTCTTGGACTTGGTTCTTTCCTTCGTGGGGTTCTTGCTTCTGGTTTCATGCCGACCTCGAACCATGGACCTCGCCTGGCATGTCCGAGTCGTGAGAGCGTAAACCCCATCACTCTATCTTCACAACTGTAGATCCGACAAAATCTTAAGACGTCACTCAACTCAGCCCGCAACCCAAACAAAACCGCAGAACCCCACTCCCTCCAGCGCGAAGCCTACAGCAGGAAGAGCAGAAGAGCGGAGCAAACGGCTCTGTGGTCTTGGAGAAGTGGCGCAGGCGATCGGGTGCCTTCGAAGTGTCGGGGCCTTGGGCAAGGGTTTTGGGGTTTAGGGTCTGTGTTTCTGCGCTTTCCCGGCTGGCGAACAGAGTCCTGGATGCAAAAAGGGTTTAAGGTGTAGGTGTGCCATTGCAATTGTAATTGTAATTGTAATGTAATGTAACGTAATGTGGGACTGTATGCGTGTATGTTCGCATGCATGTGTAGAACGCACGTGTACGTCTACATGGACATGCAGACATGCATAATCATGCGAGTGGTGCGTCCCTGAGCTCGTGTGCTTTCAGTTGTCACTTGATGCATGTGTGAGTACATGCACATGTGGGCGAATTTGGGGTCATTTGCTCTTCCGAAGTTTGAAGCATAGGACTTTGCAGCAGTACTTGTGGAGGCGATCGTTTCCGCCCGGTCTTCCGTATATGTGTCCGTGTGATATTCTACGATTGTACGTGCTTGCTCAAAGGTGTCATATGCACGAACTATGAGAGCGCCCAGGTCGCCTCCATCGCCGTATGACCTGCGGGCCCTCACCTCGGGCATTACCATGGGGGCCCCGGTGAAAGCCGAACCGGCCCGGAGCTACGCCCCTGCCAAGGCGCCACAGTAGACCACGTTGGAAACAGGTTGTTCAACCTTGGTGCGAGCAGTTTATGGCTTTTCCGAGCAGCATGCCTGAACCAGCCAGTCGTGATTTGTTTGAGCTCAAGGAATTCCAGACGTTGTTCAAGACGTCAAAGGCCAAACTGATGGTCAGCAAGCCTCAGCAAGCTGTAATTACCACAGACTCCTGGCAGCTTCTTGCCGAGCCTCTCAGATCCGTTTGGATAGCACGTTGCTGTCCTTCTTGATTCTCCACACAGATGTGCATGCTTGTCGGTGCAGATATAATGTATGTATTTACGCATATTATTCACGTAAACAGCTCTGTACTTTCCATCACGCTGCGCAGCTTGACCTATGCTGAGCTTTACACGTAGAGTTCGGTTGAGGCTATTGTGGCAGGTTCCCTAAACCCTATGCAACCTCAACTTCAACTTCAAACGGGATCTCAGCGACATGCAGGCAACAGGCTCCCCGACGAGGGCTCGACGTCTCACCGGTGCAGCGGAGGTACGGCGGGGGCTTTTTGCGCCCTTTTGAGATGAGGTTGTTTAGGATCATGGCAAACAAACTTGGACAAGCAGCCCAGGTGCGCCTTGAATAGTTTAAATTGCAGGAGGCCTTTGCAACTTGCCCTACACCGGATAGACCACGAAATTTGCACCACAGGATCGTTCTTCAGTCTTCCCCCGGCAGAGCATCCATCGATGCTCTGCTAATGCCGACATCTTCGCAACAATCAAGGTGGTTAAAGAGTCACAGGTCCTCAGATTGAATCTTGGCAGGCCCCTTGTCTATCACCTGTGGGTCTTGCCTGATACGGCACGACGAACAAGGTGATACAAATAGTTCAGCTGCCAGCAAACGGATGTTGTAGGATGGATGTTGCGATGCATCCAATGTGGATGGGGACAGGAGGGTAGATAGATACACGCGTAGACATCCGCCAGACATCCACAGAACCCCAGGTGCATTTGTAAATGTGTTGTTGCTTCGCTCACTGACTGCTTTTCCATGCCTTTAATAGCTGCGACACACATATGGTATGCTTGTGTAGGCATTTGCATGCATACATCCAAACATACATATGTACATGGGCGTGTACGTACATACAAGCACATACATACCTACAGACCTACGTACGTGTATGGCATGCATACATCTATACACAGGCATGCATATGTGCGTGTTAGACATCAGCAGCCCAACACAGAGACGCACTGCGAAAGTACAACGCACTCAGATAGCACACGAACAATACCCTAAGTTACTGCGTACACTTCTCACTCAGCTTCAGATCAAAATAACCCTGAAAGTCACGGAGCGCTTCTTTCCAGGGAATGCACAAAGTGCATCGTGATCACACACATACACAGAGATACATATACACATGTGCGTGTGGGTGTGAGTGTGAGTGTGAGTGTGGGTGTGGCGTGGTGGGTGTGTGTGGGTGGGTGTGCGTGTGGGTGTGCGTGTGGGTGGGTGTGTGGGTGTGTGTGTGGGTATGTGGGTGTGTGTGGGTATGTGGGTGGGTGTGGGTGGGTGGGTGGGTCTGGGTGTGGGTATGTGTGCGTGTGGGTGCTTGTGTATGGGTGCTTGTGTGTGTGGGTGCTTGTGCGTGCGTGCGTGCGTGTGTG